CTTAGTTGGGGTCTTCATTAAGGTTGCCTTCTTCTTGGAAACCCTACAAACACCTATTTTCCTTTCCGAAACTCAGACACCCTTTGGGATGCACATAGTGCTGGAAAGCTTTTATTTGGCTTCTAGACATAGTGGTCCCTCTGATGATTTGAGCACATCTGCCAGTGTTCCCACAGCCTAGAATGGAACAAGTTAACAGGTTCCTCTAAGCTTCTGTCTTCACTTCCAAGGACAGCTTCAAGAATAGGAAAAGATTCCTGCTGCTAGTATAGTATAGTATAATACCACGTGTGTATACTACAAATACACTTCGTCAAGTACTCTAGTAGTTTTACAATGAAATCAAGGAAACTGTGGAATTTTTTCTTTATCATAGGTTGAGGCCAATCTCGGATTGTAGCTACCTTAGCTGGGTATGCAGAGATTACACATCTCCCCACTATGTGGTAGAAAAACTCCATTAGCATTAACGAACATTTTCAATGCTTTAGTTTTAAGTCTGCCTTTCGAAAGCACTGAAATACTATCTTCAGATTCTCAGATGCCAATTCAAAAGTGTGGTCAAACACTAGAATATTGTCGACATGGACCAGGTATTGCTCCCATTGCAATCCCTTAAGCATCAGCTCCATCAGCCACTTGAAAGGAATATTATACAGACTGAATGGCATGAATCGAATCTTGTACACTCCATCTCTCGTGATAAAAGTTTTAGCTCTGCTTTCACTGTCCAGCTTAACTTCTTGGTATCAACAAGCCAGACCCAACATGTTAAACCAATAGGAGTTTTCTAATACATCCATACAATCATTTGTTAATGGTGATGGGAATGCATCAATGTGAGTTACTGCATTTACCTACCTGAAGTCCATATAAAACTTTGGAATTCCTTCTTTCTTTCTAACAGTGACTACTGGGGATGACCAAGCACTTTTTGAAGGCTGTATAGTTCCATCCTACAGCATCCACTGTTCATCAGTACTTGCAACCTCCCTACTGCTCTAAGGAAGTTGGCACAGTGGTTGCTTTACCAGAAATGTGATGCCTGTATCTTTGTGGTGCTAAGTCAACATTGTTCATCCCAATCGACCATCAGATACCACAAACATGTTGGCATATTCATGGAACAAGTCACCAAATTGTTTTTATTGTGTTGGGTCTAGAGTGCCTACACAATTGTCAACCACTGCTCTCGGTTGTGTTGACAGCCTAGTGTTTGCTCTCAGTCACAGCACGACAGAAGCAATCCTAATGTAACCATTAACCTCAGTTACTTCCACCTTGCATATTGTGCAAATGACCAATCCAACATCCATCTTGTTAACCAATCATCCATAAATACAGAGAAACACTAGGACATCACTCCTTGTCAGGCATATCACTACCGAAGTTAATGCTACCTGTTTTTTTTTATTTTTTGGACAGGAAACTGTGGTTGAAAAAAAGGATATTGGTGTTGTGACTGAAAACTCACTTTAGTCATCTAAACAGTGTATTGTAGCTAGCATTATGATTTTGAGTAGCATCTATAGAAATATTGAATAAAAGACAAGATATATTATTGTTTCATTGTATAGATAACTTGTAAGGCCTTATTTAGAGTACTGTCTACAGCTTTGGGCTCTATTCCTCAAATAAAGAGAGACTAAAATATCTAACTTTCCTCTGGAGAGGAGAAGGTCAAAGGGAATTTGATATAAATTTAAGATTATTAAGGGTATTGATAATATAGATTCATCAAACTTTGTGTTCAGCAGTGAAAACAATAGGACAAGGGGACATAAGTTCAAATTTTGGCAGCATAGTCGTCTGCAGTTTAAACAGTATTACTTTTCAAACAGGTTGGTTGGTTTTTGGAATGAGCTGCCTTCACGGGTGGTGGAGGCAGAAAACTTAACTGAGTTCAAGAAAAGATTGGATGAAACATGAGTAGTATGGAGTGGTTATAGTTGGGAGCTGGAAGGGACATCCTTAATGGGTTAATAAGCTCCTTTTTTCTGTTTATAAATTTTGTGGTTTCTATCACTACATTATATGGCACTACTGCATTATATGGTGTCTGGATTAAACCAGAGAATACTTCTTGTGTACATTTGTGCAGTCCACGCTTTCTGGGCTTAATTTGGGCAGCATTGGATGACTCTCCTGCTGAACATCTGCTCACCTGTTGCACAGGCAGAGTTGATGGACAGCACGTCTATCCCAACAATGCCTATTCCAGATCCAAGGTCCCAGATGACCACCTTTTTCTATGGGTGACATCTTCTAGACTAAGCCAAAGATTTGTCTCTTCTCTAATAACTAATCTACTGCTATTCACCAAAACGAAGTCGTCAACTGGCTGGAGTGGTGGTCTATCCCTGAGGGCTTGAAAGATCATAAGATACACTAGGTTTTCATTTATGTGTCTACCAGGAACTTAATCTCTCGCCCTTGTACCTTTATGGACACATACCAAGCTTCTCCCAGCCCTGACAGAGCTGGGCTGACCACTAAACTCTTTGGGCCATGCTGTCCACGGTGCCTCCAAGCCTGTAGCCATACCTCACTTGATCCCCATTAGTTTCCTGGAGCAGTTGCCATGACATATGCCATTTATTGCTGGTCCTCCTGAATCTGCTATCTGACAGCCAATATTGCTGCCCCTACCTACTTTGTTTCTCGATAAAGTATTGATATCATGAGCCAGCAGGCATATCTGAGTTGTCAGTTGAAACTGATAGTCCTTTTGTCTTTGCTTGTCTGCAAATCATGGGCAGTGTCACTGTAAGTGGCCCATTTTGTCATCTTGTTAGATAGATGGATAGAGGCATCAACTGTCTTGATGACAAGTAGTTCATGGTTGGATCTTTATGTGGTTGAACATACCTTGGTGCAGATACATGCTCAATCAACAGTCTGTGCTGTGACAAGTACTTTGTGGGAGGAACTGAATAGATTTGGACATTAGGTAAGAGGATTGTTCTGTGGTTGATAATTTAACCTGAGTTTCTTTAAGTGTGAATAATAAAAAGAATTGAAAAAATTCACGAAAATAAAACATTCTTTATTAACGACAAATAAAAGAAAACAGCAAGCTTACTCAAACAGACAAGACATTTTGTCCTACCAGGGTGGCCTTTAGCCTCTCAGTTTTCTTTCTGTACCTCTAATAGAATGCACTCAAACTTCCAAATAAACACGTTATCTTTGTTCAGTCTATAGGGTCTACCTTGTGGTCTTTATCTCTCCATAGTATTAGTTGGCTGTGGGTTTCAGTTACAACATCACCAGCCAGCAGACAGATGTTTATCCTAAAATCGAATCCTACCTGTAATATTCCACGGGCAGGTGATACTTCAGCTACTAGAGCGTAAAGAAAGGGAAATGACTGGAATACTATATACTAAACTCTTCCTGCACTCTTCGTTAGTTCTGTACGTCATAGTCACATGATTTTCAAGGTCCAGGAAATTATTGATAATGTACAAAGCAAACAACCAGTTATATTCTACTCTTTCTTTAATACTGGTTTCATTAAAGATGTTGATTAAAATATGTAATATACATAATATTCTTTTATTATGAAGATTATTTTGCCATTAGCTTTAGTATTTGGATTTATCAATTAGGATCAACCTAAGTCTCTTATGCTGACTGAACACCACGTGATAATATTAGGATTAACGTTAAAAATATCATTAATTTAATATTATTAACAGGGACTGCACCCAACTCATGAACCAGTGCATTCTAATCATTTAGTTTTTTGTTTTATGGTAAAATGTAGCTTTATTTTTTAAAGTTACTTCTGTTACATCTTGATTACATTTATCATGAATTAAACAGAAACACAGACATATACAAAAATTTCCACTAATTTCATAAAGATTTCCCTCACAAAGGAACACTGACTATAACTGTAAATTCTAGGGGAGTTATGGAAGTACAATCAGTAAATGGCAGTAGCACATAATAACAATAATAAACAAATCAGTAAGCACAACTAAAGGTAGGAGGTGGACTGCCCATGCTTTGAGCTAGCCAAGGATTATTCTGCCCCATTGTAATGGTGTGCTCTTTATCAAATTATTTGACATTTCACACTTTTTGTTTTATTTTTCAGAACTGTGCAATAAAGTAAAAACTCGAATGGTTGAGTGATTTTGTTATCTAAACAGGATATTGTCTTCCAACAACAACAGTGTGTGTGTGTGTGTGTGTGTGACGGTCCTATTATGTGCAAGTAACCTTAGTTCATGGAGACTGGTAACAAAGGTTCATTCCTCTTGCTTTCAGTTTCAGCGTTCACATTGGAAGGCATGTTTACTGTCTGTGAGCATGCTGTTTGATCATTCATATATCCTGTGGAGGTTGCTAGTATTACTGTTAAAGATTCTTACTTTTCATCAACACAATCAAGAATTTGGTCAGCATCTGATAACATCTCCAAGATACAACATCTAGAGTGTATGAGACAAGTCCATTCTTGGCAGTAACAACTTGTGATAACCATTTCTTTTCTTTCTGATGTTCTCAGCCAAGCACTCCCTGTTCAACAAGAAATTGTCTTTCTTTTGTCATCACATTATTTGCAACTTCTGTTTCTTCTCAGAATGTAGAGACACATCTGGCTTTAGTAGATATACACAACTTCAGTAACTCAGTTTGGTCATTGAGCTTCACCTGTACATTAAGTTTTCCATTAAGTAAGGCTGCTTCTCCATTGCCAGTTTTTACAAATGCATTGATTTCTTACAAAGGAATTTTACTTAGCTCATCTAGGCACACTGTCTTTGAAATAAAAGAAATTGCATTGCAAGTATTCAGTTACTTGAGTAAGGAAGCATATTATGTTGATACAATAATAAGTAGGCAAACAACGATTTATAAGCATAAGGAAAAGTTATATTGATGGTGGAACATACTACATGTTTCAACAAAAAAGATAGCTAAAGAAGACAGACCAATGTTCTGTAAAAACATGTAGTATGTTCCACCATCAATAAAACTTTTCCTTATGCTTATAAATCATTGTTTGCCTACCTATTATTAACTATTCAGTTTCATTTTTATAGTTTTTTTCTTGAATTTCTGGTTTGATTCAGAAGTTGTTTCTCCTTTCAAGTGTAAGCAAATTTATTGCAAATTCATTAGCTGTATCAGTGTTATCACTCATTTGTCATTTACTTCCATATAATGCACTCCCTTCTTAATGAACTTTTTTCAGATTTTTTTGCTATGAAAACATGTTTCGTGTATTCTTTCTTACTGTGATTATTCTTTCCACAACTCCAACATATATTAGATTTGCTTCCCTGGTTTAATGTTATCTTTTTTTTTATTATGGGTGATGCATCAAGTTGTCGAGATTTTCTTGTAGCTACATCCATTTATACAACAATACTGTGTTCTGTGGATTTCTTAAACACTGCTATATGCTGCACAACAGACTCTCACTCCTCTTAGTTGCATTTGTGGAAACAAAACTTTTTGTCAGTTATGAGAGACTTAGGGGAAAACATACCTCCATAGCTTTTATCACTAGGCTTGTTATTTGCTGTCAAACTTTGTAGTAGACAATGTTTTACCTTCAATTACACTTAATACAGTAGGTATTTGCCTATCAGTTTTTATGCTGTTTGCCATGATAAAGTGCTCGATGCAAGTGTTTCACTGTTCAATATTTTTGTCGAAGCTGTTGATTTGTCCAATGATTGCTGCCACCAACCCTTACTTCATCGTGTTGTGTCACTGTTATCACTAATGGGCATAAAAGTTATTTAGATAAACTGTAGCAAACCAGGTATTTCTATATGATGTCCCCTGGAGGATATAACTTGACCAACTGGTTTACAGATGATGGATAGCCTGTAACTGGACATCGGCTACTTAACGTAAGATACCCATAGATGCAGGGATAGCAGAATACAAACCTATAATGTGAGAATAAGAAAGTTAATTAAAAGTACTTAAGCCAAGAATTTTTTTTTATGGACCCTTAGAATACTTTTATAACATCACAATGTAGAACTATGTCATCTGGGGAAGAAATTTGTTACTGGCCTTCATTATTATCCCTACATGCTTATGGTAAAACAGCAATTCGTAATGTAGATTTAGGTCTCACAACTTATCAGTATTTACTTTGAATGTCAGTTTACCAGTCAAATAATGCAACTGTCTGTTGCCTTCGCTCTTGTTATCACTTCGAAATTAGGATATGGTGATGCTTTTAAGAATTTTACCTTCAAGTTCGTATAAAATTTAAAAGATTAAAAATTTGTGAGGAACTTCATCTAAAATTGTACAGAAAGATCTATGAAAGTCTCTTGAAAAGGGGGAACTAATCTTGATTGTAAAATGCACAAGTTTCAAAAGCACAAACACTGTTCTTATCTTTATATACTTAACATCTGGATGTAAAATCTTATTGAGAAATATTAAGGGATAGCTCTGTACATTAAAACTGGCACACACAAAAATATTATGTATAATAATGTATGGAAAAATTAAGCACATCTATCAATATTAGACATTACAGGTATGAATAGCAACTCTGTGTATCTTATAAAGTTTCATATGATTTTATATAAGAATATTTGATGTAAAAATTTTTTTTTTGAATCTCAACATATGATGTATCAAGTTAAACATAATGATAAAATTATGATTGACTCTAGATGTTTTGTCACTTTCCTCTTTAATCTTTTACTTATGTTTTATTAGAACACTGAGGACTAGATGAAAATATTCACAATCAAGCATGACACCAATTAAATTTTTATGAATTGTGTTAATTAGAATAGATTCTGTTTTAAAGCATATAATCAGTAAAAGGGTCTGTGTTCAGAGCAATAAGATGGAACAAGTCAACTTATTTCAACAAATATAACTGAAGTTAAGTAGATTTGTTCCACATTATTGCTCTGAAAACAGACCCTTACATTGATTACATGTTTTAAATACATCTTTAAATACTCATCTAAAAACAACTGTGATAATTGAAACTTGATTAACTACGCTAATAAAGTAGAAAAAAGTTCATGTAATTAAAGTAGACAAAAAAGGTTATTCAGTCACACCTGTTGTGCCTATTAACAATCAATATTAGCTATATTTTTTTAAAGTTAAGCTGATGTTACGATGCTAGATGAAAAGACTGCCTCCAGCATCAGCTTTAAGAGCATGTGGTAAAAAAGAGAAAATTTCATTGGATGACCTCTAAAAATTGGTCCAGACTAGTTTTCCACTATTCATCACAAATCCCCAGGGTGACCCAATAAACACAAGGGAGTTTGAAAATAAGAACTACCATAATGAATGTAAATATTTTCCTACACTGAAAATATATTTCTAATAGATGTGCACTAAAGGGCTGTCAAATCAAGGATAGTTGTAACTGTGTGGAGATAAATAATTGTACCTGAAACACACTTAACAATTGTTTTATTTTCTGTATGCCAGTATTAATGTACAGAACTATACCTTCAGTGAGATTATACAGTAAGGTACTAATAACATCAAGATAATACATACAATTTAAGAGCTTTTAAACAGAGACTAGCTATTTTTACCAGTAGGTTAATTTTTAGTTATGCAATATTTTATGGGATCCTACATCTTCACAATTGTTCTGACACTAAATTAGTACTCACCCACTTGTGGATAGTGCCGTGTCATTAGTTCTTTTTTTTTGGCACAGGGGGCAAAGGTCATTTGAGATTTCTATTTGAAGCTAAAAAAGAAAAAAGTTGTGCATTTGTTACACAACAAAAATTCTTCAAGCTATTTCAAGACTTTCTAATACATTGTTGAAAAATTAAGTTTAATTTTGTATTTAATACTTATAAAAGTTGTGTTCATTTTTTCATTATGGAGTAAGGAAAATGCACTAGAACTAGATACACTGTATAATTATATTACCCCTTTCACTAATGTCTCATTGGATTACACTGACCACATCAAATTATTATACTGGTACACACAAAATCACTATAATTTACCTGGCTTTCTAACTAAGCTACATACGAGTTTAAAAAACTTTATTTCTGTTCAGAGCAATGACTTAGTAAACAGACTTCAACATTTCTAGTCAAATTACAAGTTTCTCCTTCAAACCAATTACCAAAGACTGTCAGATTTAAGTAGCTCGGAATGTGCTCTTTCTACTGGTTATAGATATGTACTTCAGAAAGGAGGCATGAGGTTTTAAAAGAATGAAGTAGTGGGAGGGGCTACTCTGGCAGGTTTCCAAAATATATTTATCTCTCAGCAAATCAAAAAGATGGAAGGTTCTTATTTCATATTCTAGCTTGTAAATATCTGAAGTTTGAGTTTCTAATTTATTAACTATTATAGACATTGTATGGTAGAGGTAATAAAATATAAACGGAGTAATAATCAAAAAGACATGCTATATTACACATAAAAGAAAAAACATATAATCTTTTTTTTCATATTTTCTTACAAATTAAGAAATTAACACATATATAGTGCCTTGTAAAAGTATTCAATCCCTGCAAAGTTTACACATTTTGTTGTTGTGTGAGCTTGCAATCATGAAACTTTCAAATGGGAGTTTATATTTAGAATCTACACAATCTACTCCAAACTGAGAAAGCTAAAAAAATGCAGATATTATGTAAATAAGTTAGATTTTCAAAGAAAATTAGAATAAGCTCAATTGCATAAGTATTCAACCTCTTTGCTACAGCAACCTTAAATCGGCCCCGGTGCAAAAGATTAGTTTGAAAGGTCACAAATTTAGTGTAATGGTCTCTGTGTGTGTGTGTGTAATCAAAGTGGTTTAACTTGACTTCAGAGTAAATGTATCTGTTCAAGCCACAATGCACAATTCACAAACTAACCATGAAGACCAAGGAGCTTCCCAAACAAGTCAGGGATAAAGTGGTAGAGAAGTACAGATCAGAAGAAGGTTACAATAAAACTTCAAAGTCACTGATTATTCCTTTTGAGTATGGTGAAGTCCATCATTAAGAAGTGGAATGTGCTTCTTACTACCCAGATCAGGCCGCCCTTCCAAACTAAACAGTCAGGCAAACAGAAGACTGGTTAGAGATGCCACTGTGAAGCTAACACTGACTTTGAAAGATTTGCAAAGTTACATGTTTGAGATGGGAGTCAGTGTTCATACATTGACAATATCCCAGTCCCTACACAAAGCTGACCATATGGGTGAGTGGCAAGAAAGAAGCCATTACTGAAAAAGAATCATCTTAAATCTCGTATGGAGTTTGCAACAAAGCATGTAAATCATACTGCAGACATGTGGCAGAAGGTTTTGTGGTCAGATGAGACAAAATTGAGTTTTTGTAGTCTAAGTTCAAAGCATTATGTCTGGCACAAGCCCAACACAGCACATCCCCCACTCAACACCATCCCAACTGTCAAGCATAGTGATGGCAGCATCATGTTATGGGGATGCTTCTCATCAGCAGGGACTGGGAAGCTTGTCAGGATTAAGGGAAAGATGGATGGTGCAAAGTACAGGCAAATCCCAGAGGAACACCTGCTTGAGTCAGCCAAGAATCTAAAATTAGGTTGAAAATTCACATTTCAGCAGGAAAACGACTCGAAGCACAAGGCCAAAGCCACACTGGAGTGGTTTCAAAAGAAGAAAGTGAATGTCTTGGAATGGCCCAGTCAAAGTCCTTACTTGAATCCAATAGAAAATTTATGGCGAGACTTGAAGATTGTAGTCCATCAGCGATCCACAATGAACTTGTCAGAATTGGAGAAATTTTACTGGGAATAATGGTCAAAAATTACATCATCCCATTATGCAAAACTGGTAGAGACCTATCCAAAAAGACTCACAGCAGTAATTGCTGCCAAAGGTGCTTTCACCAAGTACTGAGTTAGGGGGGTGAATACTTTTGCAAGGCACTGTATATAATGTCAAAATTTCAATTATAAGAACTATGTTGTGATACCAATTTTATTGATATACAATGATAATAAAGTTGTTTAAATTTTGAAAATAACTAAAACATTGTGACATGAGCCCTTTGACCTGTCCATAGAAAGAGATTTAATTATTTTACATTACCAAGAGTTACATAAGGAGGGGGGGGGGATATTGTTAAATGACTCCAACTGTAATCATCATACTTTATCATAAAAAAAAGAAGCTGTATGAAGCACACTCACTTTTCTTGGAGGTGGAGGTGTTGGAAGAGCAGCTAGTCCTGGTGGGGTGTTGTCTTGATTGTACCACCATTCAAGAAACTGGAAGAAGAATGCTCCAACTGACAAACCCAGAGAGAGTGCTTTAGCTAAACCTGCAGAGGTTATCCACACAATGTGGCGAGGGATTTCTTCCCAACTGAAAAAATATATAAAAATTATGGTTTCTAGCAGGTTAGCTAACAAATATTTACAAAATACATTAATGCTTTATCAGTTTGTCTCAATCTAAACAATTTTTTAAATAAAAAATTATGTTAAGATTGTATTTACTACTTTTAATAATAAACTGATGTCACCTCTTTACGTTTCGGTTTTCATTTGTTAAAGTCCATAGTTCTGTTCCAGAGAGCTGCACCAATGGGGAGTGATACGAACTCCTTCCAATCGCATACATTATGACATGATGGAATAGCAAACACTCAAATATAAAGTGGAAAAAAGGGTAAACATAAAGGTATAGAAACTCCATTTTCTCTCGTACCTGAAAAAAAAACAAGATATATATTTTTCAAATGTTTAGTGGAGCAAACTGATATAATGGGTAAACTAAAGCACAACAATTTTCATTTTCAACAGTAACTAGCTTATTGTAAGATAACTGTTGAAGTTTGAATGATTATCTACCTACTACCAATTACATATCAGGTTCCCATTAGTGAGAACTAAGAACTAAAAGTTCCTATAACCCAGTCAGAAGTTATGTAAATACAAAACATATTTAGATCATTCTAAGCCTGGACTTTCAAAATCTCCTGCTGATTGCTCCCTCAATATTTTAGAAGTATTCCTTACAAAACTAAATTATACTAGTTACCTGGGAAAACCATCTTTCATACCAATTCAAGATTTTTTTTTAAGTTAACTCTCTCACTACGGGCTCAGTCACAGGGACCGACCTCATAACCATTTTTTTGCTTGTATAGTTTTCAAACTATAACTTTTAATACAGGAAGCTTATCTTCACAAAATTTTTCAAATTATCAGTAAACATTACAAGTCTTTAGTACACAAAATATCAGACTATTATATTAAAGTTTAAGATTTTTTATATAATGATTTGTTCATTAATTTTTTTCTTTTTTGAATGTTCACTATCCAACATGCAAAGTAATTTTTATTTTAAGATTAAAAATATTTTTATGCATCAGAAAATTGTCAAATTTCACATGCAAAATCTTTATAACTTCTTAATAATCTCCAGATAATTATCAAACATTGATTTTGAAAAACCTTTATAGTTCATCTTTTATTTTCACTTTTTTATCTCAGTATGAGTTTGGTCGATTTGACCAATCTCATAACTAAGATAAAAACTTAGGAAATAGACATAAAGTACACTTTTTTGTTCTAGAATGATTACAGATTATAACAAGAAACCACAAATTTTTAGTCTAAATAGCTTAAATCTCATAACATTTTACATCTATATATATTTATTTTTTTATTTCATTGATCTTTCAGCCATGTCTAACTAACCTTACAGAATTTGCAATGACACTGCACATGTGAATTCATGTTACCAAATCCAATTGTATAAAACTGGCCTTTACAAAGTGACCTGTCTTCAGTTTGAACAGAAAATAAATAAATATAAAAAACAATGATTTTCTACTTACAAACTTTGTACTTGTTTGCCCATTTGCCATAATTTGCTGAGCCTTATTAAAACAGGAGTTTAGGGTTAGCCTTAAATTCATATACTAAGCTCACAGTAAAAAACAATTTTTATAAATGTAAAATTAATGATAATCATATCAAAAATTGTTTAAAAACATTACAGCTAATAGATTATATCATTAAACTTGCATCTTTTAGTTGAAATAACTTGAAAAAAACTTACATCTTGTTACTGTAAACTGCAGATATCCCTATCCCTGGTGCTAAAAAAATTATATTAACAACATCAATGAATAAAAAGTAACTTACCTTTCAGTCATGAGTGACAGCATTAACATACATTAATTAAATTAATTCTGAATCAAAACTGACAATGAGTACATGATACCATAACACTAAAAAAAATGACTGCAACACTTTAATTGTAAACCAGGGATCCTCTCAAGCAATATATTCAGCTGTTTTTCCAAAAATACGAGGCTTTACAGCTTGGGAAATTTAAGTTAATAATGCAAAATAATCTTCATACATATAGAGGTAATGATGATAATAAATACTAATATTCAACATTATAACCAATAGTACTGATGAATCTAGCTTTAAAGAACAAGTATGTCATTATACTTACATCCTGTTTTTGTGACCTTGCACTTATCCATTTTTCATGTAATGTTTCAAACAGTTTATCTAATTTTGTCTTAACATAGGGTGCAATGGCCAAGCAAAACAAGGACATTCTAATCTGTTTCTTTGAGAGTGATGATGCCTTCTGCTTTTGAATCTGTGCTGAAACATCAGGTTTCTTTGGCACTCGCTGTAGCCCATAGAAATGTTCAGCAAAGGATGCCCCTGTGCCAGGATTTGTAAAAAGAAAACAGTAACTAATTAAAATAAAATTATATTTTCCATGGATAAAAATTTTATCAAAAAAAACCTGCTGATCTATATTAAAGAATGAAATCCTGTCAGTTTCTTGGAATTTGGTGCCCATTCTTTTTAAAAGTCCAAGTGGAATATCATTTATTTTTCACATAATTCTTGACAATTCAATTTGAGTAGTACATAATCTTACCTGCAAAAAACTTGATATTCCATATACTGTGAGACCTGTACATCTTTAAGGAAAATTTCATAATTGTTTAAACAAAATATACATGAAATCAAACCACGTATAAAACAAGGATTCTACAAAACCAATGTAAATAGCAACTCAAGTTTGTTGAAAATTGAAAAACAACTTTTAAAATTACAATAATACAGTTATTTTGCCTTGGGGTCTCATATAGTCCTATTAATATACACATCAGGATTTCTCATTTAACAGCCATTCTTGATTCCATACTTGACTTAATATACTGTATTTTTCGGTGTAT